CGCCTTGAACGAGCATGAAAAAACATGGGGGATGAGGGTCCATGGGCAGCAACTGCAAACTTTGATTCTGATCCCATACTATCTCGGCAAGCAATAGCACCAGACTCATTCCCTTCTACGTGCAACGCTCTCAACACACGGAGACTGTGCGGAAAGAGCATCTGTCCCTAAAGCAGTCATATTTCCTTACACCAGCGTATTGCAGAGTTGCGTGATATCAGGTTCAAAAGACTTAGCTGCCAGCCTTACATTGTACAATCTTAAAATGCGTTGCTATAGCATTCATCGCTTCGCCCGTGCAGTACCAGTGAAACTGCGATTTTCTTTTTATTCAGCAGAAATTTCACCTCCAGTTTGATCACCGAAGGTCAACTGAATTATTCGTCCAGAAAAAAATCTTTGGCGAAAAAAAATTGTCACCAGAACTTCACTCTAGGGGCAGTGGTAGCTCGTGGTATTTGCTGCCATCTCAGAATTATTCTGGTCACCTTAAACTGATTTCGCTGGCATTATTAAAGGTTCCTGTGCCAGCATCAGATAAACCTCTCTCTCCTTTATGCTGCATCTTTAATGGTGCATGTTTTAATCATGTTTTTTATGCTGCATGTTTTAATATTCGGCAAATACCATGCGTTCTCGTAATCAATTTTGTGCGAAGCAGACAGTGAGTAGCGGTATTTTTTTTTATTTGTGTCAAGTGTTACAAGGTGAATCGACGTATTTCTGTAAATACATAAATTTGAAGTCTTCCACTACACAGGTCCATAATGATGATAGGTTCCCGCCTAAAATTAAGGGGCAAAGGTTATGTGTATTTTTGCTTAATTTGGCCTAGAAAATTGGAAGAGCAAGTCGTACACCGGAACACTTCGAAAAAATTAAAACTCTCCGCCTATGTTTTGTTTTTTCTCTCTTAAGCAGTTATTACATAGATTTAACTATATTTTGACCAATAAATATAGCACCGGATATTACAAAATGTATTTTTAGGGCAAAACTACACCCGTAAACTCAAAACCAAATGGTCAACGAAAATGTTACTGCTCGCTATTCCAAACTTTGTCTTTTTTTTTTCACGCCTCGTGTCTCGTGCCGGTCCCGTGGCGTAGTATCGTGGCGCTGCAAGACGGCTTTCCATGGCGCGCTTACCTTGCCACTAGTGTGGTGGCTTTTACGAACGCGAATTGTTGCTCGCGTCTTCTGCGAATGTCGAACTGGGGCATTAGTCTCCCTCCCAGCACGCATCGTCCCGATGCGTACAGCCGGCTAGCAGCTTCTAAAGAATAGGACTTGTCTTGGTGTTTGAGGGCATGAGTCAGTTGGGTTGTTCAGTTTCTTTCGTCGTACGGTTTCAGCTGTATTACATATGCAACTTTCGGAAGATTCCTGCATCGTGTTGTGCACACGTGACCTTCACGGATTACTTCGTAGCTTAAGAAACCCAGCTGATGAAGAACTCTGCAAGGGCCAAAAGAGCGCCGCATAAGCTTCTCTGATAGGCCACGTGCACGTACAGGCGTCCAGACCCAGACTTCGTCTCCAGGGGAGTACCATACGTTTTTTCGTCTTAGATTGTAACGGTGCGCGTCAACGTCCTGCTGTTGAAAGATACCGGGTCATGTAGTCGGTTGCTACAACTATCCACTGCTTCCCGAACAATGACGTAGGAAATAGTCTAAGTAAATTCATTCCGACTTGCTGAAATGGGACTTTCGGTGGCTCTATCGGTTTCAAAAGAGCTGCTCGCTTCATGGGCGATACTTTGCGCCTTTGGCATTCTCGGCAGGATCTGACATAGTGTTGTACTGAATTTACCAATTTTGACCAGTAATATTTCTGGCGGGCTCTTCCCAAAGTACTACTAATGTCCAAGTGACCTGCCGGTGGGTCATCATGACACTGGTGTGTTCGAAGTTCCTCTTGTAGAGAACACTGTTGCGGAGGACATATGAACATAATCGATGAACAAAAACTTGCAGTACTTTGACTTGCTGCCCCTCTATAAGTATTAAATGAGCAGGAGTAATTATGGTTTCATTCGCTATTCATGAGCAATCTCTGACATGTTCGTAGCTCCAAGAAATGCGGAATCTTTTTCATGGTCAGGAAATCAGATCTCGACTGGTGCCCGTGACAAGCAATCCGCGTCATCGTGCTTGTGGCCAGACTTGTAGACTACGCTGATGTCATATTCCTGCAGATGCAGGCTTCATCTAGCAAGTCTTTCAGAAGGGTCCTTCAGTTTCGCAAGGCGACACAATGAGTGATGGTCACTGATATATCGGCATGGTCTACCGTAAACTATGGCCGGAACTTAACGATGGCCTATGTAACTGCGAGACAACCTTTTTGCCCTCTGTCGCTTAGGGAAGCCGCACTCTGTCGAAGGCCGAGTTATACTCGTCTTTCGACAGAGTGCGGCTACCCCAAGCGATAACTTTTTTCTTCTCCGTTCTGCCACTGAATAAAAATAGCACCGAGGCCAGCGTTGCTGGCGTCCGTATGAATGTCTGTTTTGCTATCTTCATCGAAATGAGCAAGCATAGGAGGTGACTGCAAACGCCGTCGCAACTCAGAGAAGGCATCTTCTTGCTTTTTCTGCCAGGTGAACGATACATCTTCCTTTATAAGCCGTGGCAGTGGTTCCGCAATCTTGGAGAAGTTTTCAACGAAACGCTTATAATAAGAACAAAGCCCCAAGAAACGTCTGATGGCCTTTCGTCTCTTGGCCTTGGGAAATTTTCAACCACTGTGATATTTTCCGCGTCTGGGTGGACACCGTGAGAACTAACAATGTGCCCGCGGAAACGTAGCTCATGGAATCCAAAGTGTCACTTTTCGGGTTTAATCTTAAGTGCAGCCGCGCGAATACCGTCCAGTACAGTTCTCAATCTCTGTACGTGCTGCTGCAACGTAGTATAAAAAATTATTACGTCGTCAAGATAGACAAGGCATGACTGCCATTTGAGACCAGAGAGCTTAGTGTCCATCATCCCCTGGAAAGTAGCGGGGGCACAACACAAATGAAATGGGAGTACTTTGAACTCGTGGAGTCCGTCAGGTGTCACAAATGCCGTCTTCTCACGATCTTGTTCATCCCCATTGATTTCCCAGTACACGCTTTTTAAGTCTAACGATAAAAAAGTAAGCATCGCACAATTTATCTGAGGTGTCGTTGACTCGTGGGAGTGGGTATACGTCCCACTTCGTGACGAGGTTCAATTTCCTGTAGTGAAAATGAAACCGCATCGTGTTGTCTTTTTTCTTGAGAAGCACTACCGGTGATTCCCATGGGGTTCTGGGTGGCTGTGTTACACAGTCGTCGAACATCTCCTGCGCTTGCTTCATTATTGCCTCCTTTTCTTCGGGAGCTACTCGGTATGGATGCTGACATACTGGAACAAAGCACTACAATGCAGTGCTTTGTGACGGGATTAGGTATGACTTTCTAAAAAGTGGGAAAACACTCTACTGGTTCCTTGATCAAGTCCACAATCTGGTCTTTCTGCAGGGATGACAGCTTTCTCGTTCAATATATAATTTATGAAAAACACGGTCTACTTTTGAGGAAGTTGGTGGTGCTTTATCTATGCTGCGAAAATCTGAGACTTGTACTTAGTCATGAAGGGATGCTCTGGCTGTACCCTTCACCGCATGCTGTGCCTCGTTGGTAAAGTTGGTCAATAACACATCGATATATCCGCCATGCAGGTTCACTAGATCACTCGCCACGCGTATCCCCTTTTCGAGTAGCATTCCGATGTTTCCACCCACTAGTCCACCATATTCACGAAAAACGTCGCTTTTCACAGCAACTTTCACACTACTACGTAACGGCACTGTCACACCTTCATTCAGAATACGAAGAGGTGAAACGATCGGTTGCTCTGCGGGACACATGGCGACAGCGTTTTCTGTAGAGAAATAAACTTGGAAATTCTGCAAGTCGACGATCGCACTGTTTAATTGCAAGAATTCAATGCCCACAGTCACCTCACGAGAACATTTGGGGAGAACAATAATGCTGGTGACCTACGCGAGGCCTCTTATTAATACTCTCGCTGTGCACAATCCTACGGGGCTGATTAGGTGCCCTCTGGTAGCGTGTATCTGCGATCCGGTCCAATGAGTGAGCACTTCCTTCGGCTTCTTTTCGAGTATGCTACTCATTACTGAGTAGTTTGCAGCAGTGTCTATTAACGCTATTGTCGCGAAGTCATGGATTCTGACTTGCAGTTCGGATGTTATGTCGCCATTACGGCCCTTGTATGTTTTATCCGTTATTTTGTCAGTGGCGTCGTCTCATCCAGTTAACGATGGAGGGTTTTCAGTTTTCCGAAAATCAGTGGCCTTGCCTCCGCAGGTCACTGGTTCTAGTTTTTCCGTCACGCGCTTGGTGAACGACGCCTCGGAAAAGTAGATGATGGACGTAGACTCGACGACCTATTGCGCATTGGTGTGGTCGACCGCTATTCATGTTGCTGAGTGTTCTGAGAGGCGTGGTGTGAAGATAAACTTTCTTCAATTTCGTAAGGACGCTCACTGTTACGAGGGCAGGGTGCAATCACTGGACAGCTACGTAGCCCCACCCGAGGATAGTGGCATGTCTGATAAAGATTACCTGCCTCGTCACAGTGGTAAGGAGGGCCGTTGGTGTGCAGTGCGCCATACATCACTTTTGCGGGTTCTTGCTCCTGGCTTTGGTGGTGGCGCCTTTTACGGGTTCTTGCTCCTAGCATTGGTGGTGGCGCAATGCAAGGAAACGTCGGTGGCATAACGGGAGCTTCAGCAAAGTTCGTGTGTCTGAGGTCTTGCCGTACGACTTGCACGTGCGACAGCTGTGGTCGAGGTTCCAGTTGCGTGCGGTGGAGCACTTGAGGCCGGGGTTGAAGAAATGCTTGCCGCACTTCATCACGTATAACGTCCATGATTTAGAGCATCGCTGGAGGGCCTAGGGTGAGTTTCAGTTTCTGGAGCTCCTCCCTAATGACAACCCTCACCACTTCCCAGAGGACGTCGACGTTGTTGGGCAGGGTTGCTGACACCACCATAACTGAAGAGACGCCGAAGTCTCTGTTGTACAGTCGCGCACGTTGCTTCAGTGTCATGTCCATGCTCCTTGCCTCTAATCGGAACTCTGCCACTGTTCGCGGCGCAATACGCACCAGGCCTGCAAAAATCCCTTTCTTTTTTCCGTGCATTAGGTGCCACAACTTCTTCTCCTCAGTCATGTTTTGCTCGACTCGGCGAAAAAGCCGCGACATGTCTTCAATGTACATGGCCACGCTCTCGTTGTTCCGTTGCTTCCTCGCCTGAAGAGCAGCCTCTGCCTTCTCTTTGCGGTCTTTGCGTATCAGTTCATTACTTCGCTTTTTTTTTAATCTAGGTGAATATGAGCTATCATCATTACACGGTCACTTTATCGAATCATGAGAACTACTTCTACATCCTTCACAATGCCTGGGTGTGCGCACAGAATGAAGTATATTTCATTTTTAGTTTCGCCATTAGGACTTCAACACGTCCGCTTACGGTTATAGCTAGCTTTCTGAAGAAGGTATTCAAGATCCCTAAAGTATTACGTTCTGCGAACTCTATTAATAAATCTCCTCTGGCATTTCTAGAGCCAATGCCATATTCCCCCACTGCATGGTCTCCCGCCTGTTTCTTGCCTTCTTTGGCATTGAAGTCTCCCATAGGAATAGTATATTGTGACTTTAATAATGGTTGACTATACGTATTCATAGAAATGTTCAACCAAATGATCATCATGGCTCGATGTTGGCGCGTAAGCCTGTACCACCTGTGGATCCACAGCCACCATAGTTCATAAAGAAAGCGACATAATTATAATAAAGAAGGGTGAAATACAGGCAGACGCGATCTCTCCAATGCCACTCACCGCGGGTTTGCAGGTGGTTTTCAGGGCCCTAGACTGAGAAGAGTTGGAGATAAGAGTTGATGCAGAGTATCTTACTAACCTGCGATTCACTGATGGCATTGCCTTAATGAGTAACTCAGGAACGAATTACATCTCACGATTACTAAACGGGACACGGAAAGCAGAAGGGTAGGTATGAAAACATTATGCACAAAACTAAATTATAGCGCAACAGTCTCGGCAGAAAAGAGCAGTTGGCGATAAGTGGAGAGACGCTGGAATTCGTAAAGGAATATGTTTTCTTAGGACAGGGAGTAACCGTGGAGCCGAACTATGAGAGTGAAGTAACTACAAAAATAAGGGTATAGTGGATCCCATTCACCAAGCATTCTCAAATCATGAATGGTAACCTGCCACTAACCCTAAAGAGAAAGGTATATTACAGCTGCATCTTGCCTGCACTTACATACGGAGCAGAAATCTGGAGGCTTACTAAGAGGGTTCAGTTTAAATTGAGGATGACGCAGCGAGTGATGGAAAGGAAAATTATAGGTGTAACCTTAAGAGACAAGAAGAAAGCAGAGTGGTCCAGAGAACAAACCGGGGTTAAGAATATCATAGTTCGAATCAAGAAGAAGAAATGGACATAGGCCGGGCACGTAGCAAGTAGGCAGGATAACCGCTGTTCATTAAGCGTAACTGTCTGGATTCCCAGAGAAGGCAAACACACAAAGGAGAGACAGAAAATTAGGTGGGCCGATGAGATTTAAAAGTTCGCAGGTTTAACGGGGCAGCAGAAAGCACAAGACCGGGTTGTTTGGCTGATCATGGGAGAGGTTTTTGGCCTGCAGTGGGCGTAGTCAGGCTGTTGCTGATGATGTTAAATTGCTTTAGGCTGTTTTTACAACTGTTTCTTCATTTCTGTAGACTGAAGGGAAGTTTGTAATGTCACAGAAAGTGCGCAAGTCCGCATTTAGAAGCATACATCTGTAACATTCCAGTGCTATAGTGGCGTAGCCTGTGGCCTAGCCACCTTTTGTTGGCTTCTACAAGCTCGAATAAGTCGTTGTTATGCGTGACTAGGCTTTACTATTAAGCGTAGAGTGACATTGCTTGGTGAAGTGTCATCGTGGGGACGTAGAGTCAATGCTTAATTCGTGAGTCATTATTCATGAAATCTTAGTTCGGAATTATAAATATTTTGTTTACCAATGTGTTAATTGTCAAGATTTTAATGAAAGTGGTTTAAGTCAGCCATTAACTTTAATTAGAAATATCTTGAATTGATTTAGAAGAAAGCGAAGAGAGAGAGCACAAGCCGAGCAATGCCTTAGACAGTGGAGGCCAATCACGATGCTCAAGGTTTTTTGTTCACTCTTCACGGCCTAGTTTTCAGGTTGAATAGCTTCACTGTTAAGAGGTGGTGGTAAAAACATTGATAACAGTTAAAAGGTTACAGAGACGTTATGTTATTGGGTCCGGACTGTGTCGCCCTCCACCCCTCACAGTACTGGAACTGCTATTCCGGATCTTCATTGGCAAGCAACGTCGCCCGCGTCCATTGAACCAGGGCCTTTTGACAGTCCTGACAGCTGAGAAGGGCCGCCTCGCAGTCCTATCTCGTGGGGCTGAAGTTGTGAGAGTTAGATGGGATATATACGCACACTCAGGCTATGTGGAAGGTGTCAGCCACCTCTCCAGTGAACTGGCTCGTGCCCTGTGTTTACTGCGAGCCCGTTTACTGTGTTTGTGTGGTGTGCGATTGCGGCCGTATACCACCCCCCGTGGCGTGGGCTCGCAGCGTCCACGTAGTACGCGTGTTGCTGTTAGCCAAAGCATCACTGCAATGCTTCCGCGCGCGCCTGGTGGTGACCGCTGTGGTCTTGTCTAAACATGTTGCGGGGAAGGAGTCGAACCTGGAGAGCGCGTCTCTAAGGCACTGGCACTCTCACCCTTTCCTCAATTTGGTTGTCGAGTTTGATGTGTAGCCGGTCCAGGAGGCGGCGACCAAAATGGGTCAAAACAAGACGTGTGTATTGGTTCACGAGGTGGTCTTCTAGAAGTTCCCGGTAAGTGTTCATCACGTCTATAGGGCCTGAAGTCTCTGGTTAGATGTGGTGTTAGGGAGGTCGAGAGCCCGCTTGAAGACTTTTCGGTTGATAATCTCGAGTTAGTCATATGGTGTTTGCGCAGGTGCAAGTAGAGGGTCGAGTAGAGAATTCTACTCGTTACGTATGAATGGGCCATGGTCCGATGATGGGGCGGGTGAGTGGCTTTAGTATGATTGAGCTTGCTCAAATGACCATGAGCTGGAATGATCAGAGATGTGCGAGGGATTGGGTGATATAATTTACGAAAAAGACAAACTCGAGTTACCTTAAGACGATGAGCAGAGCTGAGAATACCTATGTAAGATTTTAGTACTGTAATGAAGCTATTACACGAGTTTTCTGAGAGGGTAAACCTATTCGCACGACATCGATCAAACTCTAGTGGTTGAATCGGGTCTTGTTAGTTATAATCCTGTGTGGCACGTGCATATTTTAACTTTGGCGGGAACAGAGTGGGACAAAGGTTATAAGGTTTAAGTGAATATATGGAGCTAGGCGTAAGTTCCAGCGAAGTTAGCCGACAATCCTGTTATCTTTCTTGGTTATATTGATTATGGGGGCGTCCAAGAGATATCTGTAACGAATTCTTTAACAGGATATGAATACAAGGTAACATATGATATTGGGGAGTTACAAAGATGGTATTGCGGTGTTTGGTATCTTTGCCTACGGAGAAAAGAGGGATGTCTTATCGACGCTTAGTGACATATGTCACGTTGTCCACTAATATTGAAAAAAAAATTAGGTCAGATAGGAGCGCTAGAACGTCTTCATTGTTGTAAGTTGGCCGATAAATAGCTCAGCTAGTCGTCAGCAAATACTTTGATGTTAGATGAAATATAAGTAAGTATGACGTTAACGAGAATTAGGAAAATTGGAGGGCCAAGTACCGACCTCTGACCTAACGGGAGATAAGAGAGAAGAGTAATTCATTGCAAAGACAAATTATTTTCAGTTGGTCCAGAAACCTCGCATTCAAACCTCGCCTCTGATTCTACTCCACAATTTTTGAAAGATCTGCATGAACACAAGGCATCTTTTGTACACAACAAAGTTTTTTAATAGGCGATTTTAATCTTCCAGGCATTGGCTGGATTCGCGGTACATATAGCGCTGACGTCAGCGTAAATAATGAACATTTGCGTGACATAATTTTGATGCACAACCTACAGCAAGTGGTTACTGAGCCTACATTAATTATCACTGCTTCCGCTTTAATACGTGACCTTCTATTTATCAGCCAGACTTTTCAAGATTTTGCTGTTTCTGTGAAACACGGTATTTCTGATCATGAACTTGTTTCTTTTTCCTGCACCATCGATCTTCTCAAGTGTACTAGTTGTAAAACTAATTCTGTAAAAAACTACTCACGTGCCAATAATGAGAGCGTACTATATCACCCTGACGATCGTCTGAGTGTTTTTGGAGGACATGACGCAGTAAAACTTTGGAACGAGTTTAGGAATATTTGTATGCACTGTATTGACAACTTTATTCTAAACACAACTAAAAAAAACGTACAAGCCTACTCCCTGGATGACGCGGGAGATAGTGCATGTGAAGAGAAAAATCAAGCGTCTGCGATGACGGCGTATTTCTCGTGACGTAATAGTACCATACCAAGCTAAACTTAATGAGGCTGTTAGAGTTGCTAAACTTCGTTACTTTCAGTTTACCCTGCCAAATTTCATCCGAACCGCTCCCAGTAAGTTTTGGGGCTTTCTCAGAAAAAAAAAACTAGTCGGCCATATTATGCACGAGGGCAATCCTGTCGTCGCTAAACAAGAGATCGCTGGTCACTTCAATGCTCATTTTAATAGCATCTTCTTGAGTTCGCCTGTTCCCCGTCGCGTGAATAACACACCAGTGAGGGATGACTATAGTTTTGTTTCTTTGCCTGGCGTCTTTTCTATGCTACTGAATATAAAAACAAAATCATCACCTGTGGCCGACAAGTTGCCAAACGCGTTTCTTCACAGGTATGCCGAAATGCTGTCACATTGTCTTATTATTATCACTTTCCTAAGCTGTGCTCCCAAATGACTGGCTATCTGCTTATATCATCCCAATCTTAAAAAAAAAGGCGATTTATCGCTAGTTCAAAACTACCACCCAATGTCACTAACCTCCCCTTGTTGTAAACTCTTGGAACACATAATCGCTAATGAAATCACAAGGTCACTCGATGATCCTGCAATTCTAACTCCTATGCAGCATGGTTTCAGAAAGGGCCTCTCTACTGTAACCCAATTATTTACTATTATTCATAGTCTTGCTGGCGTTGCCGACAAATCTGGACAAACTGACATTATATTTTTAGATTTTAGGAAAGCGTTTGATCTCGTGTCACACGCAAAACTCATCGATAAATCCATTGATCTAGACGTTCTCTCATACCTAGTAAACTGGATTTCTGCTTACCTCACTAACCATATGCAATTCGTTGCAATCGATAACTGCTCTTCAAGTAACCTTCCAGTAACTTCTGGCGTTCCCTAAGGAATTGTTCTTGGACCTTTATTGTTTACTATATATATTAATGACATTGTTGACTCTATTTCTGAACCTGTTCAGATAAAGTCATTTGCAGATGACTGCTTACTTTTTAACAAAATCACCTGCCAACAAGATCAAGTTATCTTAAACTCTAGCCTTCAAATTATTTGAAGACGGTGCAAACGCTGGGATATGCAGCTTAATAATAATAAAACAGTATTTATTTAAACCACCAAGAAATTAATGAACTTTCGTTCATTTATCATCTTGCATTCATGCCACCTAATAAGGTTAATGAATATGAGTACCTAGGTGTCATAATAAATAATAATCTGAGTTGGAGTGGCCATATCTCTCACCTTTGCGACTCAGCTTTCAAAAAACTCTGCTGCCTTAGACACAAATTAAAACACGCTCCTGCTGAGACCCGTCTAACCGCCTATACTTCTCTTGTACGGCCTAAGCTAGAATACGCAGCTATCATGTGGGATTCTCACACTAAAACTAACATTGATGCGCTAGAAAAAATCCAACGTAAAGCAGTAAGGTTTACCTTTTCTACATATCGTACCAGTGACTTTCCAAGTATCTTAATGGCCCAACACAACATTCAGCCCTTACAACTAAGAAGAAAAAGTCTGAAGCTTAAATTTCTGCTCTTGCTGTATAATAATAAGATGTCTCTTTCTCCTGAACCTTATACTGAGGCTCTCACTGCGCGCCGAACAAGACATCGCCACTCTGCCACATTAACGCCTTACAATGCTAAAACCAACATATTTAAGTATTTCATTTTCCCTCGAACAGTACCAGACTGGAACAGCCTACTTCTTAGTGCACTCAGCAACACTGACTCTATCACATCCATTACATCTTAAATGTAGCCTTGTACCGATACCCTTGTACATTGATTAGATAGTTGTGTATTGTTGTTATTCTCATTCTGTATATTCTTTTTCGTTGTTTCGCATTTTCAGTGCTTGTTTACTTGTTGGTTGATTCATTTTGTTGTCAGTATATTATCTTTGATACCGGCACACTTTTTACTGTTTGTACTTTTCCCCTCTTGCCTGGGCCTTTTCAAAGCCTGCAGTATTCCTAAAAAATAAAAAATAAAAACACAGGCTGGTGAAACTTGAGGCGTGAAAGCTTTAAAGAAGAGTTATGTGTGGGACCTTGTCAAAGGCCTTTTTGGAATCTAGAAATAAAGAATCTATTGGTATGTAAATATCTACAGCGAAGCTAATGTAATTATTAATAGGGCTCATTACATTGCGTTTCGCAGGAAAGGCCCTGTCGAAAACAGCACTGATTTTGATGGGAGTAGTCAACAGAAAGAAGAAGGTTACCTACATGTAAGTTATTAGTTTACAGCATGCACACGTCAGTGATATGGGTCAGTAACGGTTAAGAGAGTATGAAGTACCCCTTGGGGGGGGGGGGGGGGGGATAGCCGTTTTTACTTTTCAGTTCCATGACATCACTACAGTTGATTATCAACCTTGGAAATTGTTCTGCAGCACAACAATGCATAAACTTTTAAAGCTGAGATTTCCGATGGTGCTTTTATTTCTATCACGACCAGCAATGCATGAGCAGCCAATGCTTCTTTCACTACTGATATCCCATTAAAAGTTTACATCAAGCCACTCGTACGACTACGTTTTCGCTCCAATGGCTTCCTCTCTATGAACACGCTCTCCTCCACCTGACGCTCCCGTCGAATCGAGTTGTGGGACATATTAAATATTGCCCTAATTCCAAGTCTTCAGCAAACTAGTTCTCGCACCTGAATTAAGAAAAATTACGCCACTCAGTTTCTACGACACATGAGGTCACTTTGTATTTCTTACGGTAGGTGTATTCTCTTGACACACAAATGGCGCTAACTCATTTGTACCAAAGTACGGGAGCGCTAAACCGTTGGTGAACCATCATAAAATTTGAATGCATGGTCTTTCATCAAAGCTTCACTAGCACGTATAGCCTGCCTAAAACTTCTTTGTCTCATAATGAATGGATAGAATTATTACTGGTAGAAAGAAACAGCCGGCTTTGCTTTGTCCCGTCCACGTAGATTTATTTTCTTTAGGCATGAATAGCAGGAAAATTTATGGCGCGTCATCTTTTGTGACATGTGACAAACATCGGGTCTATCTATCTACAACGTTATTCTCATTCATTTTTGCGTCTGTATTATAGAAGTCTATCACACTCTTTTTTATTGAAAACGTATGAAACAAAATAAAGCATATTTTAAGAAACATGAGATAACTTTTGAAACAACAAAAAAAGCTTTATTGACAGGTACCCGAAGTTGAGTCTCTGAAACTTCCTGCAGTGGAGTATCATTCGTTTTTCCTGAAGGCACTGTAGACACGCTGGTTTTGGCAGCGTCTTTGGCAGCGTTTGCTGGCTTGTGGTTGGTCGGTAGGGACCTTTTCATCGCTGAAGGTGCAGCATCCCACGACAGATTGATCAAATAGAGAAATACCCGTTGGCTAGCAGGTGGCTCTCTTTTCACCACCAGTCCCATCCGCCGTGGCCGCCGCCGCCACCACCGCCTCCGAAGCCACCGCCTCCGCCGAATCCGCCACCACCGAATCCGCCTCCACCGAATCCACCGCCGCCTCCCCCGAATCCTCCACCACCACTGGAGATGGTGTAGGTGAGCACCGGCTTGAGCGCATGTGTCACCGTCGTAACGGGCTTGGCGACGTAGCTGACCACGGGCTTGGCAACGTAGCCGACGCTGACCACGGGTTTGGCGACATAGGAGACGGATGAGGAGATGATGTGGCCACCGCCGCCGCCGCCGCCGCCTCCAAAGCCGCCTCCACCGCCGAAACCACCACCGCCGCCGAAACCGCCACCGCCGCCGAATCCGCCTCCTCCTCCGCCACCGAAAAGCCCGGCGGAGGCAACTGCCACGAGGGCAGGTAGCACAATAACCTGCAACGCAAAAACAGAAGCGCGCGTTGTTCATGAATGATTTATAATTTCGTTAAGAAACGTTCACAGATTCGATTGTACGAATAAAACACAGGAATGAGTCTGAGAATTCTCTCTGAAAGCCTGCGATTGAAATTACTATCAAACACGGGAGACACGGCGCTACCCTTTTGTATTTCCGCATCGTTTATTTTACTTGCATTTCTCGTTTAGTCATTGATGCGCTTGGTTCTAGACAAGTTCTTAACTTACTAAATCTTTATGCTTCTTTGCCCACATTCATTGTTATAAAAATAATTACCATCAATTATACACAAATCCTAATAGGTGACGGAGAATCTAGGACAACACACAAATACCACTCTACCATATAACTCGTAAAATCATACTTCGTAACCCCAGTATTCCTGTTTTTATAGCTTCACCTGATCTCTCCAGCTTGAAAACAGCTCGAGCATGTGTCGTGCACATGACAAGATATCGTTACGATTGATAATACATTTTATATTATACGATCCTCTAACAAATAATATTTTATTATAACTTACTATGTTGCAATAGTAGCTGCTGAAAAGTAATGGATACCCAAAGCTTACCTCACTTATCAAAATTCAATAATCAAAGCAGGCCTCTACGAAGTCAAAACAAATTTTTTACAACAGGTTAATTGATATTGGGATTCACACATTTCCTAAAACATTTGTTAATTTCACAGTGTTAATTGTTACTGTTATTTTACCTACAGAACGTAAAGATAATTTGAATTGAAATATAACGATAAAGACAAATGATGTAGAGGTAATGTGATTTCAACAATGTCATTGTTGGGTGGGGATAAATAGGGAGTTTTAGAATAGCGTACGGAAAGCTTGCGGGCGTTGCAGGCGTAGCGTTAGAGTTCGTCACTCAATGGGAGCCCGCAAGTGAATGACGTACGACTCATGCGCAACGCCAGCACAAAGCTTTACGTTGCGTTGCTCTAAAACTATCTAATGTGCAAGTGTTTCAGTTTCTGGTGTGTCGCGTGCCGATAACACATCGCTAGCGAATCTTATGGGTGCTTAACAGTTTTTCTTGCCACCTCAGGAGGTAAACAGATTGGATTGATTGGTATGGGGGGTTTAACGTCCCAAAACCACCATATCATTATGAGAGACGCCGTAGTGGAGTTCTCCGGAAATTTCGACCCCCTGAGGTTCTTTACGTGCACCCAAATCTGATCACACGGGCCTACAGCACTTGCGCCTACATTGGAAAATAAGCACATTGGGATAATGCAAATTTCTTCTTTCGGCTTTCCAGCTATGAGGTTCATATCCTGAATAAAAAATAAAAGCGGGAAGAAGATTATGCGTCCTTCTGTGCCGAAAGATCTTGCTTCCTGTTTCTGGGGCCTATAGCATGCATCATATTGATTATTTTTTAAAGGATATGTATTTTGTGTGTCTGTGCATTAACTTGCATGTTTAGACTTTTTGTATCGCGTACTCTTTTAATTACGTACTGTTTTCTGCGAAATAAGTTAAATAATCACGAAAGAAGTGACAGCCTTATCTGCTGCATTAGTAGCTCCTCCGGCTCACTCTGCTTATTTCCACGTTGAGTAAGAGAAGAGTAATGAGTAGTAAGGAGCACCAGAACGAATGCTGCAGCACTGCACGTGAATTTGAAAGCATGCCACTATATCAGCAAAGAATGTTCATCCAGATTAGAGAGAACTCGAGAAAAGCAGCGTGCGTCCAGGAATTCCGAAACTTCATTCTTGCAGTTTGTTAAAGCTTATAAAGCGCGCCTTTATCAGAAAATGCTTGTGGTGCTAATAGGTGCCCAGCATCATATTAAAGCCTCCCCCCCCCCCCCCGCAAGCCCGACTGGAAATTTGTAGCGATAAACTAAATCTTGTAAGATGTCATTTAGAAAACTTATCACAGAAAAAAATGTTTGAATTTCGTTAATTTTGAAATTGCGTCCGATTTTCATGCCAGATTGTCACGCACGTTGTCACTATGTGTAAGAGCATACAGCAATGGCCTGATTCGCAGTGTCTCACTCCTTTCTTTCGTAAGCGACTATTGTTTCCGCCTGACACATCTGCTGAACTAACATAAGAAAAGAACAATTGATGTAGCTGTTCAACCATGACAATCCATCTTCTCAGACCAATCAACCAACAAAGAGCTGTATCATCAAATTATCACACTTTCATTAAGCAGCTGTGATCGTCTCTGCCAAGCTAGCCAACCACTGGAGGGCAAGAAGAATAACGAGAATGCTAGAATCAATTAAAGGAACGCGCAAAGGAAAATCTAAGAAGAACGCGCCGATGCGTCCTCAAGGATACGTCTGTAAAAACGTTTTGGCACTCTACAGCTCCATCGCGTTGCACAATAACTATTCCGCAGCGTGAAGAAACTAGGTTATATCTTGTCGTAGAATTTCCTCGATGTGAGACCGTGCGCGAATCTGCATTTTCGCTGAAAGCTGACTGGCGGAAAGTGTCCGCTCTAAGTTCTCAGCGTATCGCTCAAAACAGATGACACCATCTGTGGGGCAGGTCAGAACCAAGAAAGAAAAATAGATGACGAAAGAAAGTGCAAAATCGGACATGGCACGTTCTCACCCCTTTCGTTGCTATTAGGAGCGTAGCACGAAGAGGAGGTAAACAGTATTTTTGTAGTTGGTTGTATGAGTCATTTATTCTAGAGATTTAACAGAACTGCGTTACAAGCTTAAGTAGTTAAATATATAGTAGCATTTTTGCGCACATTCTAATATAGCAATCATTTCATGAGGCAAAAGAAGGATATTCTTGCAAATTATAATTTAGGGTCAGCGTTAAAGCAAGGCTTCAGCATACTTCATCGAGGTCGGACGTAGTACGCCTCAGCCCTAATAAAAAGCTTCTAATAATCCGAACCATTCGGCCCACGGAACGCTGCAAATATATCAAGTTTAGTGCCGAATAAAAGCGCAATTGTCGAAAATTATCACGAATCATGGCAAATGGTGCCTTAAGAGCTCAGAGAAATTTATGAAGCTGAGCTTGCTATTTTTTTGGCTAATGGAGCATACTTTACTGCGACGCAACACACGACTGCTCTGGTTTTCTCTATAGTAACCCATGCATAAAAAATTTCTCGCTTTCACGTAATGGATAAGGGTAGAGGATAATCTGGCGCATCTTGGAGAAAGCGGTGAAACAGGTGTTGGAGTCCACGTATTGCAAAGCATCTAAGCTAACTGAAGACGTTAAGAGGTGTGGAGAGGGGAGAGAGTAACACCGCGCCCTTGACGCTAAGATACCACTACTTTCACGATCGAAGACGCTGTCCAAGAAAAAACATCAGCAGGCTTGCCGCTGGCTGCTTCGGTAGCAATCCTATAGAGTCACTCGAATATTGCTTGTACTCACACAGGCTCGCATGACTCCCAGCTCAGCAGGCCAGTGGTGACTTTTGACCGGGCCCTGGTGCCTTTATATACGGGACGCGATGTCGTCGCGAGAATGAGGAGGCCGGACATGCACGGAACAAAGCGAGCGAGAGGTGGAAGTGCATGGTCATTACGCGAGCCGCACGCATCCTCGCGCTGGTCGCCTCCTCACCGCCCCCCCTCTTGTGAATCGCTTCCTGTTGGCCGAATTCTCCTCGGCGACGTCAATCATGAAAGGGAACTCGCGGGAAAAAATTCGACGTGCATCTCTCGGCCTCCTTGATCGAGGAGGAACTGGTTTACCGGGAGCCGGCTGCTGCGCGTGCAGGAAGTGCGCCCATGGGAAGCGGCCGGAACAGAGCGCGTAAACACGGAGGGTAAACAGGCGCCATCGCGCCTTCGGCCGTTACGTAACGGGCCACCGCGGGGATCGCGACACGCACTCTCTCTTGTCCGATCTCTCCGCCTTGCGGCCCCCGCGTTGCCCAATTTGGTCGATGCCGCGCTCTAAAAAATGGGGGGATGCGCGTCAGCATCCGTCCGGCATCATTACATGCCCTCGGAAGCTGCGAGAGGCTCTTCTTCCAGTCCCCTGATTGCGATGGCAGGTACATACACGGGGCTGCTGGGAGAGCAGATATCGTGCAAGCCGGTGAGGGGGTGCCAGGTTTTCTATTTCGGTGCACTACCATGTTTCCGAGGACCAGCAGAGCATGGACCTACAGGTTAACGGCTGCCCGCGCGCGCACTACGTGCCGTTGCGTGGTGGTTCGCCAATTCGTGCAGTGGTTCTCCTCGACATGGGTATCAGAGTGCGACCGAGATGAACCGATCTACCTACGGCAGACTGCCTTCAGAGCGACGCGCTGGAACAACCTTTCCACCGTCGCTGTCACTGAAAACCAACCTGAAATAGCTTCAACGATACCAATTAATGTGCATTCTACTACATTGTATGCGGCTAGGAAATCGCCTCCGGAAAAGATGCATCAAGCATCTATATAGAAAATAAAACATTCTCAGCTACTTTTCTACTACACAGGCGTCTCTTCTCATTTGAATGCACTAATTTAACAACAAAATGTTTTTATAACACATAGAAGCTAATTGGTTGGCGCCTATTGACCCCGAGATTGATCGTAGCATGTCAGCTAGTGTGGATTACATCGTGCCAAGTGTGGATTACTTTCTGCATCGTCTTCCAGCCACGTAGGGTTCGCACGTGCGCATGCGCCATGCACATCCTCAAAGGGTGGACTGTTCCGTCAAGTTAGCGCCGGTTTAACCGCTTGTACGCGTACTTAACACAATGTACAGGGGCGTATGGCGTTGCAGGGCTGTATAAATGCTTTGTAATACGATCAATGAGTGTACTTGTCCAGATTGTTGTGCCAGAATCATTTCAACTTTGGTGCCCGTTTCTGATTCAAGCATATCGTGAAGTGTACTTGGCATCGCCGCAAACACAGGGAGTGTTAAAGAGGATGTGAATGCAGCATTTGAGCGCTTTTTTACAAAAGCGTGGCTTTAGTTCATGCACTTTTGCGTTTTTAGGTGCTTGACTGCCT